GGAAAGAGAGAGGCAGAAGGAGAGCAGCGGATAATAAATTTCGTCATACTTCGTTCTCCTTTATTGGATATGTATATACTGCTGATGGAAATGGATGGGTAAGGATCTATTTACTTTTGGGAGAACGCTCAGCATGGCGTCAAATCAACACAAAGCGGCATAATTCTGGCCCAGCCAGGACGGAAGGAGGACCATATCGAAACAAATTTTGACACGGTTTATTTAGCAGTCAATGCAAAACTGAGACCAATAATACCCATGCCTGCAAAGGCAAAACCTATGCACAACCCTCTTCTGTGGGAGAGCATCATGCTTTCTGCAAAAAGCTGCAGGCCTACGTTCGTCATAACACCAGCTGTGATGGCAAACATACACCCATACACAGCCGCAGAAGGCCCATCAGGGTGTTCATCGTTTATAGGCCGGCCGGTCCCAGATGAACCCCAAATCCAGAGGGCAGCTATTCCAGCCCCTGCAGGCTGGCTGATACCACCTAGCAGACTGGACCAAATGATAGCTTTGAGCCGTGACTTGAGTGCTAGGTAGAGAGGTAAAGACATGGCGAATCCCTCTGTAATATTGTGAATGGATATTGCGACGAAAACTGACCAGCCGAGGGTGGGGTTAGTGTGATTCGTCGCGTACGTGATGAATCCTTCTGGAAGTTTGTGGAAGGCTATGGCGAGAGAGGTTTGGAGACCGATGGATAAGAAGGCATTCTGCGGGACGTGGTGATGATGTGCTGAGGGTTGTTCGGAAGGAGGCGAAGGGGCATAAGCGGTGGTTGAAGTGCTAGACGATGTACCGAGGGCGGTATGTTCGGTGTGATGGCCAGTGTTAGCCTCTTCGGCAGTGGTTGACTGAGGAGCGACATCTCTGTCATTACCTGCGGGCTGGGTAACGTCGGTAACGTCGGTGATCTCTCCAGATTCGACCTGTACCCTGAGCTTCCTACACTCGAGTCCGCAAGCTTGAGAGACGCCAAAGCATTTGCCGTTTGCACATGAAGGCTTGGAAGAACCCCCCATTATACGGTTTATCTGCTCCGAGAGTTGTGCTGTAACTGACGGCTTGTGCAGTGTCCCCATGTCCGGCTGGGGCAATGCACCGTTATGCTGCTGATGAGGAGCGGCGGGGCCACTAGTCCTAGCATCGCCATGACTATGTGGTAGGAGGGGAGTGGTCTCTGTGGTTTCAGGGTGCGCATTATTCGCCGTCTCCGCTGCTTGCTCGATGTCTTCAGCTTTATGAGGACGTGAATGCGAATGCCCGCAACTGACAACATGGGAGGGCATCCATCGGTGCAGCAAGGTGGAAAAGATATTTATAACGATGATACCAGAGAAGAAGAGCGCTATGAGGGTGTATGCCGCTAGCTGTGGGGAATATCCGGCTTGAGTCAGGTAGCCCTTCGAGGTAGGCAGCATACTATACAAGGCGGTAAAAAGCTGATATCAGTTGGCCCTCGTGTCTCCCAGTTTTATCCAACCCTGTCCGCAGTATTAGGCATACGTACGACCACGCCTCCACTCAAGCTCAGCGACGATGAGAGGAAAACATCACTCTCCGCTATTCTAAAGTCCTTCTTGCCAAGATACTGCGCAATAACGTCCACGCAGATGAGGCCGGATCCGATGGCACACGCTGTGATATCCAATCATCAGTAGGATGCATGTTAACAATACTAGATTCGACATACCAATGCCGCTGATACAGCTCATTATCCAACCCCGGGCATCATTTTCTGACAACATCCTGCTGGCAGAGAGGCGAAACCTCCTGATCCAGGCTCCGTATCGAATGTATCAATTTCCTCACCCCGCTCAACCCATACGCCACCGCGGCTTCAGAAACGTCAACGGGGTGGAAAGTGCTGGTCCAGCTGTAGGTCAACAGCACAGCTGAGGCATGACAGCGAGGGAGGGAGAAGAAGGCCAGCAGTAACAAGGCAGACGTCGAGGATTAATAAACGGAGACATTTATTAAGCGAGCTTAGACCAGCTTTTTCTCTTATTTCAACCGCGCGTTTTGTAAGCGACGGGAAATGCATCGAGGCTTCCTAAAGCGGACTAGCGTCACCCCCAAGGTCCCTGCGTCAGGAATAAAGCTTATCACGTGGTGCATAAGGCGGATTAATAAGCACGTCGTCCGATCTGTCCGATCCGCCCTGCAGGCCGCCGGAGTAACATAAAGAGACAGCAGGAAGTACTCTGTGGAAGACATTTCATCACTTCAAGTGCTCGCTGAAGAAACAACTCGGGGAGCTGTTCAATATCCGCTGGTGGTTTCCGACAACCCAGCCGACCGTGGAGTCTTAGACATGATCTTCCGCGGGATGGGGCGGCTTCTCCAGCACACGAAAAGGGAGACCGTATGACATAATAATACGGGCAGGGGTACGCTTGGCTAACCTACTCCATATTCTTCAGGCAAGCTCCCGCTTGATGTGCCTTTCTACAGGGCGCACAGAGTTGAACGAGATTTCAATATTACACTGTTCAAATATATAATATTCACTCTGTCCGTCTCAGCACCGGGCGGAGTTGCGCACTTGCAGGAAACCTTGGGCGACCGGGCAACAGGACAATGTCATGTGATATGGAATTCCCGCCGGGATCCAGAATAAGGTTCCCTTCACGGAAAGAGCCCCATATTTCGGCTGATTAATTCAAGGCTTCAGGGACGCGCCTTCCATCCCTTTTTGTTGACAATCAGATAGTGGCCTTGGGGCTGACTCAGCCACTTAAGTAGTAGCTCGATTGCAGGTCCGGCAGTTTAATCACCTTTACGGGGAAGCTTTTTCGGAGATGTTTATTCCGGATGCGCTTTTTGCAACCGTGGGTGTTCTATTTGAAACTGTTCAGTTGTGATTTGAAATGCATCCTTCGCGTTTCGAGGTATATTCGAGGATTTATACATTGACTACTCCGTACGGAGTACGTCAGTGTAGCTACAGAAGGGAAGCTTATAATTGAAAAAAAGGCGCGGAAGAGTACATGTTTCTGTGAGTTCTCTAGATGAAAATCCCAAGCTAATCAATTCATAACTGGCCCTTTCTTGTTACTACCAGGGTATCCTGCATCGAATTAACCTATGGAGTGGATATTCTTGAATCAAGCTTCCACTTTCTCCTTTATACATTTGTCCCATAGATAGTAAAAGTCTAAATGATATGCTAACTTTTATCTGCCTGGAATGTAAAGCTCAGGCATAGAGATTAAAGATAATGGTTTAGTAGATATTCACCATATACTAAGATGGATAGTCCTCATTGGACAATAAATACTAAAAATAGTTCTCTGCTGTCAACCAGTCGTTGGTGTAACTGTCCATTTGTGATTGGACGGAACTTTATTTAAATAAACTTCGGTAAAATACTCGGCCCGATTAACTATCAAAAATTGGCCCGTGCACTCTTCTTTTCTTTCAATCAGCAGGTCAGGTCACGACGACACGGAGGACGATAAGGAGGACGACGAAGGAGGGAGGGTTTATATTCGTTCTTTACCACCCTATACACACTTATTAGAATCAATTCAGTTGTACTAAGTGCCATCCATACCCGCATTGAAGATGTCGAAAGCCACTTTCGCTATCATCGCAGCCGCTGGTGTAGCTACAGGCGCTGGTGTCACTGCTCTGCTCTACTCCTCCAGCTCGTCTCGTCGCCAGCCTCATGAACCTCTGCCAGCTGCTCGGGGACCCTCTCCACCTTCAGCAACCTCTCCTGTCACCGCCGCTGCCCGTGTCCCTCCCCCAGCTCTCCCAACCTCTCGCTACCCAGTCGACCCTAGCGGACTATTCCAATATGGTTTCCCTGGACCAATTTCCGATGTGATCGATAGACCTTCCTTAACAGCCGGATTCGACCGTCGGACCCGTAATCCAGCCTGGGTCGTTGAGCATATAACTCCTGAATCCGTGGCTCAGCGTGACGGAGACCGATCTCACAGCCAGTTCTACGAAGAAGAGTCCATCCCAGCCGCTTTCCGCGCACGGCTGAGCGATTACTACCGCTCAGGATATGATAGAGGGCACCAAGTACCCGCTGCAGACGCAAAATGGAGCCAGGAAGCAATGGATGCCACATTTTCGTTGGCAAACATGTGTCCCCAGGTCGGAGAGGGTTTCAACCGCGACTACTGGGCTCACTTTGAGGATTTCTGCCGCAGATTGACGCAAAAATACCCATCTGTCCGCATTGTTACTGGCCCACTCTACCTACCCAAGCGTGATCCCGCTGATGGGAAGTGGAAAGTTAGCTATGAAGTGATTGGCAATCCTCCCAATGTTGCTGTGCCCACGCATTTCTACAAGGTTATTTTCGCCGAAGACGGGAATGGAGAGTACGGCAAAGTTAGTTTGGGAGCATTCGTGCTCCCTAACGCCAGAATTCCAAACGAGAAACGCTTGCAGGATTTCGAGGTGCCGCTGGAAGCCATTGAGCGTGCTAGTGGTCTTGAGTTTGCTAGCAAGCTACTTCCTTACAGACGTGGTGTGCTCTGTCAGGAGGTGAAGTGCGATATCACCGTTCGCGAATTCAAGAAGGCAAATGATAGGAAGAATCTACCGCCCCGGTGAAGCGTTTTGTGATATTCAGGCTTGTATAGAATTACGTGCTTTCCTTTCTTCGCACTATTTCACATAATATATCACTAGACTGCGATGTTCCCCTAATTCCTACTGTTTCTTCGTCCTCAGGTCCATATCCTTTGATGCAGCTCATTTTCGGAAGATAGCATGTCATTCTCAGCAGGCAATCATACAGATTTACGATTAGATATCATTCTTTCTGAGAATCGTAGTTAAAATGCACATGGCCGCTTTATCTCTAAGGCCATATCTACTCGTGTATAGCATGATAAAACATTATGTGGGCTGCTTGTCCAAAATAATATATTTTCAACCAATGCAGGTTGATATTTTCGTTTGTAAAAGATAGCAATGCAATCATCCGCTCTCATATTTTCGTGCATACGCTGTCTCGGAAGTACTAATCAATGCCTCTACGTGAGAAAGAACATATTTCTAACTCTCCTGCTTGTTTCTTTTCAGCTTCTATGTTCGATGAGATGGGGTATAAAGGCTGGTTTTCTCCCGCTTCTATATACATCGACCTAACAACTGGTATTCTCTCTGCTGTACCTAGGAGTTGATGTCCTATGCATTGTTACCATGAATAAACCATTTGGCAGGTAAGAATTGCCTTAGTTACGCCAATAATAAAGCTCCTAACGCTATATAGACTCATCCGCTCGGAACTTTTTACCTTCCTCATTGGACCTGAAAAGGTTCCTTTCGTTGTGAATTCCGAAGCGATTGCAAAGCAATCATCCGCGCTCCATGGGCTGGTAAACGGCAATATGCTAGAGGCACATTCTAGAACGGTAGTATGGCCTGATGTGGATGAGGATACCTTTGTTCGGTTCTGCGAATTTTGTTGTTTAGACAACTATTCCCCACCTAGCTGTGGCTGGGATAGTAATCCCGCGAAGGAAGCTGTTCCGGTGGAAGATGACAGTCAGTCTGAGAAGTTGGCACATGCTTTGGAATCACCTTTGATGTCGCCAGTATCAATTCCTTCTGCCCCAAAAACCAAGAGAAAAGGAAAGGAAAAGGGCTCTTTTACTTCACGCCCAAAGCAAAGCTTGGAACCTAGTTCGGATATAACAGAGGATCAAAGATACATGCTCCCGGAGAAATGCGCCCAGTTCACTGAGCAGTTCAAACCCTTCTCCAATGTCACGCATGACCAGGACTTTACTCCTGTTTTTCTTGGCCATGCTAGACTTTATGTTATAGCAGACAAATATTGCATCGAGGCGCTAAAAGAGCTGGTGCTGTTCAAGCTCTATACGACACTAAAAGCTTTCACCCTCTTTCCCAGAAGAATCGGAGACCTTGTCAAGCCCATCCAATTTGTCTACAACGAGGACAACACGCGAGGAGGTTCTAAACAGATTGACCCCCTACGGCAACTTGTGACACGGCACATGACAACTGTGTTGAAGGACGTTGCCATGGATTCTGCTTTTCTCGGACTCCTTCTAGAGGGAGGCGAGTTCGTTTCTGACTTTTTGACAGTGGTTTGGGCAAAGCGAGAGAACTTGCTAGGGTGCAATAATTGTTTGGGATAATAAGGGGAATTTTAACTAGATATTGAGTAGTTATCCGGAATAGCTCATGTAGCTCGGAATAAAGGCAGCAACCGATTAAACCGGCAACATTCTGGTCCTCTTACATCATAGACTACGTTCCATGCAGGCATCTAGAAGCCCGCGGTGAGGAGAAACGGTGCAAGGAGATGCATACCAAGAGCCGTCCGGGCCAATAGTCGACGGCCAACGCCTAAGCAGCCTATAAAGAACCCTGTATAATGTATGCAGCGACCCTCTGTAATCAGCGCTATTAATAGCCGGACGCTGCAACCCGCCATCATGGTAGTATCCCTAGTCCCGTCTCCTCTTTTCTCCTCTCCCACGGCTCTTACTGCTGTCGCTATGCGCCCTCGCCCTCGCGCTGGAAGCCAACGCCAACATCTCGACGTCTGTTGATGGATGTTGACGGCCACGGACAAGGACGAATAACACTGGCCTTGGCGTCCTTCTCTCTCTCTCTAAAAATTTTTCTGCCCGGCTTACCTAATCTGCTCAGCCTGGGCTTTCGACGCTCAACCTCAACTTCAACTTTGAGCCAACTTCAACCTCACGCTTCATCGCCAGCCAGGTTGACGGACTCGTGAACAGACGGAAGAGAGCGAGAACGGGCACCTCGCAGAGTAGCCGGAGTCGACGACGCACTCACTCGGTTGGTCCTCGACTGCTGTTCGCGTGGTAAATAACCTTCCAAGGCTGACGCACTAGCCCCATCTCTCGCCCTGGCTCCCTTGCCCTCCACAGGGGGACTTCAGCTTCAGCCAGCGAAACACGCCTCCTTTCAGGGAGAACGAAAATAACAAAAAAAAGGACATCACCTATCTCGACACTTATCACATCTCCTCTATCACGCTGCACGCAGTACGACCTGGTCTTGGGCCTGCCAGATAGGGCTTCCTCCTCCCTCTTGACCATGACATGACATGACAGTGTGCGATGTGGAGGAGATCCAACACCACCACGATAACCACCGCTTCTACGACGACCGCCACGGAGACGGTGACCGCTATCAGGATGCCGTGGCCTCTCCGGGGCGGCTCCAAAGACACTGCAAAGAAGCATGTGTCGCCCGCGCACTCGGAGGTGGAACTGCCGCCTCGTCAAAGCGAGCACTCGATTCGATCACGCCCTCGCTCCCCGCTGCCCCGACTATCAGAGACCCAGACCGTGACCGGAGAACGTTCATTGTTGGCTCACGATTGCAACAATGGAAGCAGACTTGATTCGGCTTGGGAGAAGGATGGTAAAGATCCTGCCCTGTCTCGTCCAGCGACCAAGAGAAACCGGTTTAGTCTGATGAGATTCCGGCACGCTTCCGACCCCCAATTGTCGTCCAGCTACCAGAACTCGGAACCACCGCCAGTGCCAAAGCTGATTCCTCGTAGGTTTTCCCATGTATCAATTTGGCTTACAGACACCTGGGATAGATAGATAGATAAAGGGAAAGAGACGGGAGGAGAGCGGTTGACAATGTTTACTGACGGGATTCTAGCACCGACAATTATCACTACCTCGCCGACGAATCCCAATCTGGAACAGCCAGTAAAGGGTCTGCCACCAATTCAACCACACAGCCAGCTACACTTTTCACGGTCATCACACAACCTAGTCTCTGATGCGGAAATTGCTTCTCGAAGCTCGAGCCCGGGACTCACTGGAAGACCCAAGAAGGACCGTAGTGCTAACTCGACACCTCCGGCCTCCTCCAACGCAAGGCACTCTCACATCTGCTTCGAAGAGGCTGGAAGACTGTCCACCACCTCTCTCCGTAGCGGACACCGGGCTCATGCACATGCAGACTCACAGTCTGGCCTCTCCAACGCTCGTCTATCTGAATCTTCTCGTTCTGACGCAAGCTCTGGTGACAGATCCATGTATTTTGGCCAACCGTCGAAGAAAGAACCTATTTCTGCCTCGTCATCTATATTCCGGTTCCCCCGTCTAAAGAAAAGCAGAGCTTCTCTTTTTCCCGTACCCATTAAATTGCCTCCCACAGATGGCCAGGCGTACCATCGCCAGACTCAATCGAGCAAATCTGCTGAATTATACAGCGATTCGAACCTGCCGTCACCTTCACATTCATCTTCTGGCCGCCCAGCATCAACCGCCGGATCTCCTAGACCTCCACTTTTCCGCAAGGACTCTGCTACCTCAGGCCGATCGAAGTCGTCTGTTTCTCCATCTGCCACTGACCGTGCCAAACGCCGTGCCAGATCTTCCACCCTAGGTTTTCTGCACCAGATTCAGGATGACACTGATGTCAGTTTAACACCGGATGTCACTCCACCGGCAATCAGTGCTCCACGGAAATCTTTCAGTGATCTTTTCAATATCCACTCCCGTCTTAAACACAGCCAGCATGACCTCACCATGACACCTAGGTCAGGAACCCCCACCGCTTCCACTCCTGGAGCTGGGCCCAGTCCAATGACTCCTACGGCGTCTAAACCAAACTCGTTTTCCCTAGCTCGCGAATTATCTTCATATCCACCCCGTTCTCCAACTGATACTTCCGCAACTTACCTCTCCCGCCTGGAATCAAGCGTTCATCGTGGTGCCATCGCAAGCATCTTGTCTCAATCGGCAGAAAAATTCTACTCGGTGGCTCTACGCAAGTATATGCGTAGTTTCTCCTTCTTTGGTGATCCGATGGACATGGCTATTCGCAAGCTGCTTATGGAAGCTGAATTACCCCGTGAAACGCAACATATTGATCGCATGATTCAATCTTTCGCCAATCGCTACCATGAATGTAACCCGGGAATTTTTGAGTCCACCGATCAAGCATATTTCATTGCCTTTTCACTGCTCATTTTGCACACGGATGTGTTCAACAAGAACAACAAGCGGAAAATGCAGCGTGCGGACTACGTTAAGAATACTCGTGGTGAGGGAGTGGCCGAAGAAGTGCTTGAGTGCTTTTACGATAATATCTGCTATACCCCCTTCATTCATGTTGAGGATGAAATCAATCTAAGTTCTCGTCTCTCATCACCCAAAGCCCGAAGCAACCTCATGACGAAGATGGCAAGCACAGACCATCTGATGAAGTCATCTAAGGATCCAATTGACCCGTATGCGCTCATTCTTGAAGGCAGGGTGTCCTCTTTACGGCCTAATTTGAAGAATGTCATGGAACTCGAAGACATCTACTCCTCAACTCCGGCGACAAACACACATCTGCCCTCCCCTCCTTCTATAGCACAACTAAATAACACCTTCGATAATCCTTGCAAACTTCAGATTGTCTCTGCTCGCTCTCGACCAGATGCATTTATGACTGAATCGACTATAGCGAACCCAGCAGAATCTCAACCTGGCCTAGTCGATATTCGTGTTGTCAAAGTCGGTCTACTCTGGCGCAAGGACGCGAAAAAGAAAAAGGCTTTGTCGCCCTGGCAGGAATGGGGTGCTGTGCTTACTGGCTCACAGCTTTATTTATTCCGTGACATTCAATGGGTGAAGTCTCTGATTTCACAGTATGATGCAAAATGTAAGCAGGACAGCCGGCCCCCAGCAGTGACATTCACACCGCCACTTACGGCATTCAAACCTGATACAATTATGTCTACTGCCGAAGCCGTCGCACTGCTTGACTCAAGTTACAAACGGCACAAGCATGGCTTCCTTCTTGTGCGTCATGGGGGGTTTGAAGAGGTTTTTCTGGCCAACTCAGACGCGGAAATGGCGGAGTGGGTGAATTTGATCAACTACGCTGCTACATACCGCACCAGTGGCATTCGCATGAGAGGTTCGGAAAAGGCAAAGCAATCAAATGCAGATCCGCAGTATACACAGGAAGCGCATGCTGCTCGCCGTGCGCAGATAGCAGTACACATCAAGGAATCGAACGAGAAATTATTTGTTGCACAACGTCAGGTTGATATGCTACTGAGGAACGCGAGACACCTGCAACATCTTACGCCCATTCATCCACGGACACGGGGACAGGTCATCCTTGCAGCGGGTCGGATGTCTGCTAAAGTAAAGTGGGCTCGACTTGACCTGGAACGCTTGAAGTGTCATCGGGGAATTTTGGCTAGAGACCTGGCGGAAGAAGAGGGCCGTGTTGGCGCAGTAGGCTGGAAAAAGGAGGTTGGCCTTGCCCTTGGTCAAATGATGGACGGTGCCGGAGACGTTGGAGAAAATAGCACATTATCGGGCGAAAAAGATAGCGAGAGAGTATCGATATCAACTGCTTCTGCGCGAAACGGAAATGGGCCAGTCGGATCCGAAGCCGCATCTATTTCTGCAGAGAGCAATCGACACTCGATGTCGTCCACCATCGCATCTAAACAGACGAACGTTTCTACTCCTAATCCCAACTCTGTGACAACGCCGATCACAGACACTGACAGCACATCAAACACAGTCACTCCACGGCCAAGTGTTACAGATGATGACGACGAGGAGCAACGTTTCCTCCGCGAAACAGGGATTCTTGCTTTGGATACCGTCTCCCTGTCAAGCCCACCGAACTCTCCTGGCATGCAGGAACCTATCACACCTATATCCACCAATTCCACAAACAAGGATGCTGTTCAGCCCTCCCCTCCACCATCTTCTGAGCGTTCCAAAGTTCGACGCAGCTTCCAGCGTACTCTTCGAGAAGCTCACCACAATGTTCCTCTTCATCGTACCAGCCGAAAGGGCCGAGATCGTGACTCTTCCAATTCTGCCCAATCTTCCACTCACTCTGCTTCGGTCAGTGCTAGCACTGGCAACGGCAATAATCCAGGAACTCCATCTACACCTGCAGCTACCTCCGATGAGCCCGGAACCCTCCCACGCAAATCTCCCAGCTTTACCGTTCACGGCAAAAAAGCGTCTATCATCACATTCGGTTCTGAATGGCAGATCCTTTCACCTGAGCAGAGGCTAAAACAACGTAAGCCGCAGTCCAATCAGCAGCTCCAGGCAGCCCAAGGCCAACCAGACAGTTCAACTGTTGGTGGTGATGATGGCACAGATTCGGTTTTTGC